AATCAGATGATTGAAGATTTTGAGCCTTTTGAAGGTGAAGCTCTTTTGGATGCTAAATGCTTCAAATGAAGGGGAAATGCTTCTAAGATTACAACTTAACGGATTTCCAATAACATGTGAAAATTATTGAAGATTACATCAATTTTAGGCCCGTTTACACATAGAATGTTCTGTAAATATCTAGATATTTAACTTGATGGTTCTTTGTAGTTGATCACAACCGTTGATTTAAATAGATATTGGTATTCTGGTTGAGGAGGTGCCCATATAAGGAGGTGACCCACAATATTCCTAATACATATTGCATTCGACAATGTCATTCTGTTGTGGCTGTGTGATGAGTAATTTGTTGATGTATGATGGCATGTACTTGGAAATATGTGTTTCGTTCAATGATTGAACCCAACTCGTAAGCATTATCACTCCAAATGATCTTGATTAGAGATACATATCGAGTATAATGAGTGAAATAAACGCTTTAACGAGAGAGAATGCATCACTTTTATTTTTCCACAGATGTATCCATGTATGTCTCATGTGTATGATGCTTATAAAGTGTCTACATAAAGTGTCTACATGAATTTGGTAAAAAGGTTTAGCTGAATGACAGATACTTTTTGGAAATGACAAACGATGTTGTCTAGCTTGAGAACAAATGATACAAGAGTCAAGACATGCATGACCATATAAAGTAGTGGCGGAGCCAGATGGGGCATTGAGGGTACAGTTGTACCCCCAAAATAAATTTTATATATTAAATTTTTTTTATTGATTTTCTATATTTAAGAAAGCTTAACTACCTTGCATCCCTAGCTCGAAACATTAAATCTTGCTGCTTGCTTTTTTCTTCTCATGAATTTAAGTGATTGCTACTGAGAGATTAGAGACAATAGCAAGATCGGTATTCCACCATCCATTCGAAAACTTATTCCAAAAAATACAATTTCAAGAGGATTCATGTTTTTACCCATATTTTGATGATTCGAATGTTATTTTAAATTTCGATTATATTTATACCCCATTTTAAAAGTTCTGGCTCCGCCACTGATAAAGAAAGATTGGGTAAAATTTTCTTAAGTTTGTCCTGAGGAACATGACCAAAACGTCGATGTCACGTAGTAAAGAAACATAAGGAAAGACTTGTTTTGATCTCATTGTGATAAAAAAAAACATACAAGTCATTCATTTTTGTGGAAATTTTCCTTCCAATATTTTCAAGTCATCAATAGTTCAAGGGTTAAAGATGTAACTTGTTCATATGTAAATTAAAGAAAACATTATAGGGAATCATTGGTTAAGTTAAGTGTCAAATTGCATTTAATCCATATTTTCAATTTTTTACTAGGAACATCTCATATATCATTAAAAATTGAATGCTATGTCTTTAGTACCATATGAAATCACTATATGACCCTTTATATTTTGTTTTTCAGTTTTTTAATATTTCTTTATTATTTATAAATTAAAAAATTGAATTAATGTGATTTATAATTTAGTGGGTCCGACCATCTCTCATACTCCCCTTCTACCTTCCCCTCCATCCCCTTCTTCACCATACTCCTTTTCCGGCTCCACCACCACTCACCTTTAATTTTCCGGCACCACTCTCACATCCGACGATTAAATCCTAACCATCAAAGACTACTCCATCCCCCTTTCCAAACAGGCCAAACACATAAATACACACCACACCAAATTTGATCTCCGATAAAAACCCAAAATCCGCAACCATCTGAAAAATTATAGTAGGGGCGATCATTAATTTGGTGTCCTAATATTATTCATCCAAAGAAACAAATAGGTGATACCCTAGATCTAAAACTTGATTTTCAGATATATATATATATATATATATATATATATATATATATA